GCGCGGTGGGGTGGGGGCGGCCGGCGGGGGGAGCCCCGGGCCTCGGGCAGCTTGGGGGAGAAGGCGCTGCAGCCCTGCCCCGGACCCCCTTCTTCCCTGCGGACGTGGGGCAGGATCCTTGAGGCCGTGTGTAGGGGGCCAGGGGTTGCTGGAGAACAAGCGGGGTTCACCCCGAAACGCCTGTGCCAAGGCAGGCTTCGGGTAGCCATCCCCTCCCCCCACCGTTGTCTGTTGTTTTTAAACCACCGATGGTAATGCTTACTCCTGGTGTGTCCGTCTCCCGCCCCCCCAGGATGAAGTCGATGAATATGTTAAACTCAGCCCCGAAGAGCAGCACAAAAGACTGAAGTCCATCATAAAGAAAATTGACCTGGACTTGGATGGCTTTCTCACGGAAAGTAAGGCGGGCCGGGCCCTGCACAACTTACCTACGGAGAGACCCCTTTGTGGGAGACAGAAAGGCAAACATTGTTAACAAGCAGCCCGTCTGTGGAACGGAGATGGCTAGGGCACCCACAAATGGGTGGGGGCAGAGAGCAATTGCTATACTCAGAAGTCTTTAGACAGAAGGTACCAAGTGCAACTTCATGCCTTCCCCAGGAAGGAATAAACATCATTAATCCCTGCACAATAGGTGCCTCTTGAAGCGCCTTACACCTCGGGAGATGTTTAGTTTGGGTTTGTTTGTTGTTTTCTTAAAACGTCAACAACATGCTTCCTTTTATTCCCAGACCCTCTGGGAGGCACTGCTTTGTTGCTTTTTTTGGATATATGCCACATTAGAATTTCAATCCTGGGGTTTAAAAACCAGTTGAAAAAGACCTGTGGCATGTACGTGGAGTGTTCTCACTAAATAGTAGAGCTGATCAGGGCCTGAGAATGCTCTCTCTCACTCTGGAGCTGGAGAAATTCAAGCCCAGAGGTGCCCTTTTCAAATCACTGGTAAGCCCAGGACTAGCCGCCGGGCCTTCTGCTCCCAATTCAGTGTGTAATTCCTAGACTGGGAAACAACAAAACACTCGGAGTGCTCTTGATAGGTCTCTAGACAGAAATCAAATGGACACATTATTAAAAGAATGGTCTAAGTCAGTGTTTCACAAAATGAGTGATACCCCACCGGCCTGGGCACTGGAACATTTCAAGGAAGGGGTGGGGGAAGCTGCAAAAGCAAATAGCTATACATTATCCTGGATTATGGGATATAGTACAAACCCCAAGGGAGTGTACTGAGCCCACCCCCTCCACCCCCGAAAAGGCAGTAGGCCAAATAAATTGGGGAACCTATGGTCTAAATTAAAGTCTGTGCCACTCTGACTCTCCATCCTTTAATTCAGGGGGTGAACCCTTTCAACTATCCATGTTGATTTGTTAAAAAAAAAAAAAAATCGGGGGATAATTACTGGGACCATAAATTAGTTCTGTTGCTCTAACCCCTATTTGAATTTTGCTCAGCACCCATGATGAAGTCTCTGGAGATCGACTTATGAACTGTTTGGTAAATTTAAGACATGCCATCCATGAAATATTCAGGCGGTGCCCCCAGAAATGTGAAGGGTTGGGTTCCTTGTACTTGAAAATAAAACAAGCAAAAAACCTTTGGGCCTTAGTTACTCAGAACCAGTTTGCATTTGGTTACATTAAAATGGACACAGTATTGATTTAGAAGACTGCGGTACCTGTCTATTGTGTTAGATTCAGCCTGGAAAGCCCAGGCTGCTTGTGCAAATTTACTGTGTAGTGAACAGTCTTGATTTTTTTTTTTTTTTAATAACCACCTCAAAGATTGTACTTCTTGGTATGACTAGCACCTGTCTCTCTACCAACCCCACAGTATCGTCCGTCCTATATACTTAAAGGCTTTTTTCAAATGCATAGCCCCAGACCAGAACAGAGTACTCAGCCAGCAAGGTCAGCCTGGGCTTACTTGTGCTGGTTTGCTATTGCATAGTAAACAATTCGGAGCCCTGGTGACATCCGAGGCTGCTAACTGCAAAGTCAGCAGGTTGAAATCCACGGGATTTAGAGTTACAGTCTCAGAAACCCACAGGGGGCAGTTCCACCGTGTCCCACAGTGTTGCTGTGAGTCAGCCTTGAGAGGGAGCCATTATTTCCACCCGGGTTTCACCATGGCTTGTGAACAACGTGAACTTGTTCACTACAGATTAATAAGGAAGTACAAGTAAGCCCATGATTACCTTGCTTACTGGGTCTTCTGTCCCTGCCTGGCAGAGTTAGGGCCTGGGTATGTTGGAATGTTTAATCATAGATAATTAAAAAACTGTACGGCTAAAAAGAACTTAGTCTGCATCTTCAGTTTTCAGGTGAGAAAACACAGGCTCTGGGAGGGTAAGCTCCCCCTTCCCCCCCCCTCCCCCCAGTGGCAGAGCTGAATCCCACATTGCATTCCTAGTACACTTGAAGTAGACTAGAACACGTTGTCTATGTTTTAAGGACACACTCCTCCTGCTTGAGGTCCAGAACTGGCTCTTGAGAAGCCATTAAAATTCAGTGTAATGAGTTTGGGATTTAAAGTCAAACGTAGATGTGAGATTTGAATCTGGCCAGAAGACTACCTGAACCCTGGTTTCCTCAACTGTAAAACCCTGTGATAACCATGATCTGTTAGGGAGATTAGAGACTTGCATATAATGGAATTGATACGAAGTCATTGTTCAATACCTGGTTGCCCTAATAATCGTGACTCTTGGCGGAACTTAAGGAAAGACACTGGTTTTTTGTGGCTCATCACATCATAGAAGGGTACCACACTTTTATTCAGGTGGCCATGTTACCTTTAAACCAAATGGTAGGTTCCTGCAAATATTGTCCTTGCCAAATACATACACCCCCCCCACTTTTAAAAATACATTGTAAATACAATAATTTTAATATTTTAAATACAATATTTGTAAATGCATGTTTATATTTGTAAATATTTGTGTATATAGTAAATACCTCCGTGAATGACCCTAACAGCTGATCTTAAAGTTGATCATTGAGAACCTCCTTCGTTTTTTATAAAGTCCAGAGTGAAGGCAGTGGTTGTGGCAGGGCATGCATTACATCGCCACTCATAAATGGGTTAAAATTTCCTACACAGTTTTTCCCTGCATGGTTAAAAGGAATATACGTTCACGTGAAAAAACACCTGTGCTTGCAGAAAGTTCTTTGGTAGTTTGCAAAGGTTAGCTGTAGTTTGTTGGTTGGTATTAAAATGTCAAGTGCTGTTGCGACCAATTAGTAATTCATTCAGCCAGCCTTGGTTGAGTTAGGAACTTCCTAGGCACTTGGTGTATGTGTCTGTGTACAAAACAGGCCCAAACTCTGCACTCATGGGCTTCACAGTCTCGTGATCACATGTTGTACTATTCTTAGGCTCCAATCAACTCTCTGTACTCTCCGGGTCGCTCTCATAGCTACACATCGTGACCAGTTCCACACTCAGTATTGGCAAACACTGATGAGACATCCCCCCTCCCCCCATGATCTTTCAAAGATGGTCTCGACGACGACGACATCTCAGCATCAGAATTACTGTTGTCACCCTTCCTGCATTCTGTGATTCTCATAGGTGAGCTCAGTTCATGGATTCAGATGTCTTTTAAGCACTATGCCATGCAAGAGGCCAAGCAACAGTTTGTGGAGTATGATAAAAACAGTGACGACGTGGTGTCTTGGGATGAATACAACATTCAGATGTACGATCGGGTGATCAACTTTGATGAAAGCCCGGCCCTGGATGACGCAGAGGAGGAGTCTTTTAGGCTGGTGAGTACAAGTGCACAAGCTGTTCTGTGTGATCGGATCACTGTGCTTCATCTTCCCACACGACTGAGCGCAAGGGCGCCCGAGATCTTGCTCTGTAGGCAGTCACCCGTTCCACTCCAGAGGTCAGTTGGATGGTTTCCTTCTTTGCTAGCCAGATGGAGGACGCTGACTTGCACGGCCTCGTAACGCCCCTGCATCTGTTTGCCTCAGCTGCTCTGCCCGCCCTCGCTGCCCTCATAGCTCCTTGATGCATTCTAGACACGTTTCTAATATCTTCCTGTTCCCATCATCACTGAACAGCTTTATAGCATGCTTATGTAGAAGGCTGTTGTGGCCTGTTCACACTTTTAAACAGAGTTTTATATTAAATAACTCGCTTATTTCTTTTCTTCCAAAAGGTATAAAGTTTATTGTTCTTCCTCCTGAAGTTTTCAGAGGACAGCATTCTGTGTTGGCTAGGCCTTCACAGAATGTGGACGGGTACAAGTTATCAGCTACAGAGCAATGATAAGGCTGATCGGTTTCAGATAGAGATGTCGGTTGGGAGACAGAGCTCTTGTGCTTGTTTCAGAAGCTGAAGTCGGCTGCTTGGTTACAGACACACGGGCTCGAAACCCTCGATCAGGTCTCTGTGAGCATTGCCTGGATGGCAGTGGGTGGAACACCCCATTGCATGGGGCCTGGTGCTGCCGCGGGTAAAGCACTGGACTTAACTAAAAGGCTGAAACTCCCCAGCCACTCCTAGGGAGAAAGATGAGGAGGCTGTCTGCTCCTGTAAAGATGAACAGACTCTTGAAACCAATTTTGGTAGCAGTTGTACAACACTGCTGGATGTGGGTGGACTGGAATGGTATGATGTCTGCATTAGCTCCTAATAAAATGGTTTGGGGGTGGGGTTTTGGAGAGAACGAATAACCACCTCAGAAACCCTATGGTGCAGTTCTACTTTGTCCTGTAGGGCCGCTAGGAGTCAGAATCAACTGGAATCCATCAGTGGGTTGGGTTTTTCAATTTGACAACAGTGTCCAGTCTGCGAAGCTGCTGCTTACTTGAGAATAGTATTAGCCCCTGAAGAAAGACTTCAGACGCTGCAGCGGGGTGCTTCACTGCTAATGATTGTGCATGTGGTTGAAAAGCTTGGGTTTTCTGCTTCCATATGAATTTACAACCTGGAAACCTTAGGGGCAGTTGTGCTCTGACCCACGGTATTTTGTGACTCAGAGTCCACTCAGTGGTGAGCTGTGGAGTGTTCGCTTAGGGACGCACAGTGCCTCTTCTTTCCTCCCTCTGAGAGGGTGGTGGGCTAGAACCAGCACTTAACCCACCACCCCAGCAGGGCTGTCCACTGCTACTCTGCAGTAGCAGTCCCGCTCTTAGAGATGAGCACACTGGGACAGAGAGGTTCAACAACTTACTCAAGGAGGCATAGCTATTGAGTGGTAGAACCAGATATGGAGCCAGGCTGACTGGGTGGAAACAGAAACTGAACCTCCACACTTAGTGCCCTGCCCGTCCTCCACACACGGTCATTAGCAGGGAAACCGGCTTTTTCAAATTGCTGCTCTTATTAAAAACTACTCTGTTTTGATGAAAAAGAGTATGTTGAAGAGAGCATAAGTTTATATTGCATTGGTTTTGTGAACTACATCAGCTTTAGATTAGAGTTTAACTTAATAGGGAAAATTATACTCTTTTACTCCTTATTGGGGTCTTCATTTTACAGCAGAATAAAAAATTTAAATCCGTGAAATGAATGATGATAGATAATGAGACTGGATGGTACTGTCTACTAGGCATCTTCCTTTATTATTGAATTAACTTAGCTCAGAGGCATCTCTAAAGATCTGGGATATTCTAAAGCTGAGCCATGCATGGTATGATGTTCATTCCTTTCCTGCCTAGGGTATAATAGAAGTTAGCCCTCAGTATTTGAAAACCTTACTAAAAACCCCAAACCAGACTCACTGCCATCAAGTTGGTGCTGACTCATAGCGACCCCTTGTGGGTTTCTGAGACTAACTGTTTACTGGAGTAGAAAGCCTGGTCTTTCTCCCGAGAAGCTGCTGATGGTTTTGAACTGCTGACCATATGGATTGTACAGCCCAACTCAACCTAAAATAATATCCCCCCCCCAAAATGGGATTTTGGGTGGTTTTTGTTTCGTGACATAAAAGATAAAATTATCTATCTATATGTAGATATAGATATATTAATTTTTTTAAATCAACCATTTTAATGGAGGCTCTCACAGCTCTTATAACCATCCATACATCTATTGTATCAAGCACATATGTATGTATGTTGCCATCATTTTCAAACCATTTTCTTTCTACGTGAGCCCTTAGTATCAACTCCTCTTTTTTTCCCTTCCTCCCCCATCCTCCCACCCTCATGACCCCTTGATAAATGATAAGTTATTATTATTTTCATAATCTGGTCTGCCATCACCCTTCACCCACATTTCTGTTGTTTGTCCCCCTCAGGGTGCAGGGGAGGTTGTGGTTATATGTCGGTCAATAAAAGATACCGTTATTGAGAAGAGAAACAGGGCGCATTGGTACAGCTAGTTACATACAGCTTTCCTTTTACACGATGCTGTGCTCCCCACCGAACACTTAAAAGATCGATGAGACTCTGCTGTTTTCAGAAGGAGGTAAATGCCTCCTACCAGCTGGAGGCTCTGAGGCGGATCCCTGAAGTGAACATTGGCCGATGCAGTCCCATTGGCCCGGGATAGGTCTGTCTCCTGCAGGCAGGTCAACTCGAGCTCGGTAAGCATTTGATATCAGTAGCCCCTAGATGTCCGCGTGGCGTGGGGAGACAAGCCGAGGAGCATGTGCAGATGCCTTGAGATGCGAAATGAAGGACAAAGAGGAACCATCTCAGCCAGTATTACAGAGTAAACTTACCCCACAAATTAAAAGTGACTAGGTAGCTGAAGGACACAACATTTTCCTCTTTGAGAACCTATTGAGAAGCACCAAGAGTCAATTTAATGCCTGAATTTTATTTGATGTTTAGGAAGCTTCCGTATAGAGCAGCTGTTCGCAACCTGTGGATTGCGGCCCCTTTGGGGGTCAAACAACCCTTTCAAAGGGTCACCGGATTCATCACAGTAGCAAAATGACGGTCATGAAGTAGCAGTGAAAATCATGTTATGGTTGGGGGTCACCACCACACGAGGAGCTGTCTGAAAGGGGGCGGCATCAGGAAGGTTGAGGACCACTGGTCTGGAAGATAGCGTGAACCTGGAGCAGAGCCCCTTTCCAGCTGAGAAACGCTGCAGCAACACTGCTTATAGGCCGGGAACCGTGACAGTCAGCACATTGAAGCAGATACCGGAGGTTGGGGACTTACCTGGCAAAAGCTCCGTTGTACTCCTCAAGGGAGCTGCTGAATATGCCTATACAAGCAATATTTATTTATGTAAGCTATAACCTTACATGTGACTAATCTGAATTTTTTAAGACCTAGACTTTTGTTTTTACGGTCACAGTTATTAATGTATCTCCGCATGCAAAATCATTCTTCTACCAAAAGATGGCAGTTTTGTTCCTCATAAGTTTCTGTTAAAATATAAAAAGAGAAATCCTCGTAGTTTCATTTTACTACTGTACCTAGCACTTTCTACCCTTGATGGAAAT